CACTTTAAATAAGATTTCAAGTAAAAAGTGGGAACTTTCCCACTCACCTGTGTATCCTACCACGTGGTAACCACCAAGCCTAGCTAAAAAGGCGCCAAAAATCTGTTTGGCTGCGCATGCGCTCTCGTAGGCTGCACCCTACGCCCAGTACTCCTCTTCAGCGTGCGCAGGACTCCACCCACGGGCGTTTGAATTTGCTACATTTGCCTGGATCACTCCTCCACTGCGGGCCCCTAGGGTTTTAAAACTTGGTTCCGACCCCTGACGAGTCCGCGTCTCCCCCAAACTTTCAGGATAAAGCCTGACCTTAGAGGCCCTTCAGGATCTGACCTGCCCACTCTACTGCCTCATCTCCCACCCCAAGAAGACCTCGAGTCCAAGCCAGTCTGGGCCTTTCTCCCGGGGTTCTCTCCCCATGGAGTGCCCTTGCCTTCAAGGTCCAACCGGACCTGCGCCCTTTCCTAGGTGATTTGATCTAGCAGTCTCCCTCCACAGACCGGATCTCTTCAGGGCACACGCCAGGTCTGATTCATTCGTGTGTTCTCCGCACTCACTCAGGACACTGACATTCCTTCCTGCCGCCCCACCCCACGGCTTCCCGCCAACATTACTGAAGAGGCAGAACTCAATCCAAATTCGCCGGAACCGCCGCCATCCCTCTTTCACTCCCTCTTCTCTATTGACCCACCCTCTTCTTTCCCCCTACTTTCCCCGCCTTCGCCAACCACAAATATGCGCACGCGCATTGAGTCAGAGCTTTGGCGCCCTCCCACCTCCGCTCAGTAATCCGCATGCGTGCTCAAGCCAACCAAGTCGATCAACGCATGCTCAGCTCGGCGCTCACGTTCCCTTCTCGCGCGTTCAGGCCTCAGCGCATGCGCAGGAACAGTAGCCCGCGGGACCTGCTCTCTGCTTGGCCCCGCGATACCTCCTCCTCTCTTCCTCCTTCAGGGCGCCCTTCCTTAGGGTCTGCATCCGGGACGCCGAGGCCGGTTCCGAAGTGGAGGGTGCCCGCTTTCCTTCCCTCACCCACGCTCTTGGCCCCTAAACGCCATTTACTGGCGGGTGGCTTGTGGTAGAACCTCCCCGCCCCCACCCGACTCCCGTCACGGGGAGAGCGCGCGCCGCGCCCCGGGAACCAATCAGCAGCCGCCTTAGGTAAGGGGACCGCGAGCCCGCGCGAGGCTCGCGCACTTGCAGGGGGCGGGGCGCGCCGGCTGGCCACGCCCCCTTGACCATGCAACTGCCGCTCCGACGTCCCGCGGGTGCGTGGAACTGAGTAGAGAGCTGGCAGGTGCTCGTTAAATACCGGGTTGGCGGGAGTTGGGACGGGGGACACAAGTAATATGTAAATAGTGACTTCTAGGCCGGGCGCTGTGGCTCACGCCTGTAATCCTAGCTCTTGGGAGGCCGAGGCGGGCGGATTGCTCAAGGTCAGGAGTTCAAAACCAGCCTGAGCGAGACCCCGTCTCTACTATAAATAGAAAGAAATTAATTGGCCAACTGATATATATATAAAAAATTAGCCGGGCATGGTGGCACATGCCTGTAGTCCCAGCTACTTGGGAGGCTGAGGCAGAAGGATCACTCGAGCCCAGGAGTTTGAGGTTGCTGTGAGCTAGGCTGACGCCACGGCACTCACTCTAGCCTGGACAACAAAGCGAGACTCTGTCTCAAAAAAATAAATAAATAAATAAATAAATAAATAAATAAATAAATAAATAGTGACTTCTGGTTCTGGGAGACCCTAATAGATCCTGCAGACTGCCCATAAAGTACTGAAGAGGTCCCTCCAATAGCACGTGAACAGAAACTTAATTTCTGGAAATACCCTCATAGAGAGCCCGTGAACAGATTCTTAAATATTAGGGTGGTCCTCCAAATAATGCGTAAATAGAAGCTAGAGTTGTGGGGTTCCCCGTGGGAGCCCTTGTAAGCCAATGCCTAATTATGGGCGGGAGGCCCCCATGTAGGAGCCTGTAAATATATGCTTACTAGGGAGCCTTAGAAAATGTGGAAATAGGCTGGGCGCGGTGGCTCTCGCCTGTAATGCTAGCACTCTGGGAGGCCGAGACGGGCGGATTGCTCGAGGTCAGGAGTTCAAAACCAGCCTGAGCAAGAGCGAGACCCCGTCTCTACTATCAATAGAAATAAATTAATTGGCCAACTAATATATATAGAAAAAATTAGCCGGGCATGGTGGCACATGCCTGTAGTCCCAGCTATTTGGGAGGCTGAGGCAGGAGGATTGCTTGAGCCCAGGAGTTTGAGGTTGCTGTGAGCTAGGCTGACGCCACAGCACTCACTCTAGCCTGGGCAGCAGAGTGAGACTCTGTCTCAAAAAAAGAAAAAATGTGGAAATAGACTATTCAATTTTGGGGTGGGGATGCCTCGTGAGGGTGGGCATAAATACACAGGAATGGGGAGTCTCCCCCCTAAATTTACAAATAGATAGTGGGAGATCCTCAAAGGGAGTGTGTGAAGAGATGCTTAAGTATTGAGGAAGCTCTCCAAAGAATGTGTAAATTAGACTCTTAATTCCCAAGAGATCACCACCATTCTTGTAAATAGACACTTCAGTAGTTTTGGAGAAATCCCCAGAGGAGTCTGGAAATACCATTGGAGGTCTCCAGAATAAGGTGTAAATGGAGATTATTTGCAAGGGGAGGGGATCCTCCTAGATGTGTACACAGACGGGGGCAGAATCCCCTTTGAGGCATGAAAACAAACACTTAAGCACTGGGGAGGTTTTCAGAATATTGTGTAAACAAACATTTGATTGGAAAGGTGAGAGGAGTCCCAAGTTCTGGGAAAATCTCCATTGGAGACTGTAAGCAATCATTTAAGTGCTAAATGAATCGTTTTCCATAAGTGTCTGCAAACAGACACTGTCCTCTGACTGGGAAGGCAGTCTTCAACCCAATTTGTGGCTGGGGGAGAGGTCACGGAGAGCAGTGAGAGAACTAGACAAGCTTCTGCCTGGCTAGCAAATCACTCCTGCATCCTGTAAATAGATACTTGAGTTCTGGAGAGTCACAGGGACCTGTTTATGTCATTATGTACTTAGGGGTGGAGAGGATTCACAGAGTGATCTAACAGGCACTTAAGAGCTAAGTGAGGGTCAGGAAACTTTCTGTAAAGGGTCAGAGAGGATCTGCAGACCGTACTACCGTGTTTCCCTGAAAATAAGACAGGGTCTTTTTTTTTTAATTTTTCCTCAAGAAGACACCCTAGGGCTTATTTTCAGGGGATGTGTTATTTTCCCCTCAAAGCCTCAGCTTGCAGCACATGCAGGATGGCCAGGACCTGACGGGGAGCCGACCTTGTTGGTGGGGCTGCCCGCACCTTTCCGGTCACCTCTGGGATAGTAGTTGTCACGATGGGGCAGGTGAGAAGGGCTGCTTGTCTTCTTTACCACTCCACGATGAAATGCATGGGTTATGCAGATATGCTGCGTAGCCACGTCCAATCACTAGGTCTTATTTTCGGGGTAGGGCTTATATTGCACAAATGTTTAGAAATCCTGCTAGGGCTTATTTTATGGATAGGTCTTATTTTCAGGGAAACACAGTAACTACTACCTGTGGGATGTTGGGCAAAATGCTTATCGCCTCTGGGCATAAACGCTGGTTTAAAACGCTGGTGATGGTAACTATCTAATAATGCTGTTGTAGAGATTGGATGGGTTTAGTATGCATCAGATTCTTGGAAGGGTATCTGGTATGTAGCCTATGCTCAACATATTAGCTATCATTCATATTATCTTCATCATTACTATTACTACTGATGAGTTCTCAGGAGAGGGACAAACATTTGGTATAGTGAATTTAGAAAAGCTTCCTGTAAACACTCATTCATTTAAATTTCAGGTAGTTCATTCTGGATTAGATCTAGTAAAATGCAAAGATTTTGAGAGGATTTTTATTCAGAGTTTATCTCTTAAGCTACATCAAAAATTGAGGCTGAAGGAAGTAGACATTTGAACAAGAGTTTAGGAAAGCTGTTTTATAGACTGCTACCCATTTGTTTGTTTCTTACAGTGAATTGATTTCTTTCCTCATACATTGAAAGGTGGTGAGATACCAGGTGAAAGTAGGCCCTCGATGTTGGAGCCCTAACCTCACATATGCCAGTAATGGGTAATCAAAAGAATAGTTGTTGGACTGAGGACCATGTTACTTATTTGTAAGGAAATGCCTTGTTGCATTCTGGGAAGAAAAATATCCCCTTTTTATGTTAACCTGCCCCTCTGAGTTGTATTTATGTTGGAGCATTTCAATAGCTGGGGATAGTTTTGGCTGCAAGTAAGAAGTAGTCATGTATTTGTTTCTCACTGCCTCCAGAATTAGGCAATTCAGGGTTCATGTGGGACCCCTCCAACCTTGTGTCTTGTTTCACTATGCCTTCCATTAAGTTGCCTTATAGCCCAAGATGGCTGCTTTAGCGCCAGCTTCCACACCCACATTCCTTCCAGCCAGGGGGAGGAAGGGAAAAAAGGCATGTGCCAGCATCTGTGAAGGGAAGTTTCTGAAAGCACCAAACCACACTTCTAGTGTCATACCACTGGCCAGAAAGTACAGTCACGTGGCCACACCTCACTGTAAACAAGACTGAGAAGTGTGTTCAGGATAGCCACGTACCTAGCACAGAACTGAGGGTTTTGCTTCTTTGGAAGATGTCAAGAATGGATATTGGGAGCCAGCTGGCAGTTGCTGCCACAGAGCTGTCTTTTGAAAGGAAAGTCTTTCATATAGTCAAGGATAAACCAAATAGACTGGGAAGAGACCCTGTTCATCCTGAAATTCCCTCATTCCCTCCATAGGCGACCATGTCTGAGTCTGGGCACAGTCAGCCTGGACTCTATGGAATAGAGCGGCGGCGGCGGTGGAAGGAGCCTGGCCCTGGCGGCCCCCAGAATCTCTCCGGGCCTGGTGGTCGCGAGAGGGATTACATCGCGCCGTGGGAAAGAGAGAGACGGGTGAGTATCTGGACCCAGGAGCAGCATTCGTGTATCTCTCTGTTACACCACTGTTTATTGAGCACCTGCCATGTGCCAGGGACTAATCCAGATGCTGGGGACATATCTATAAACAAAACCGACTGCCCTCATGGAGTAGGAAGGGATGGAGAGTGAGAGAGGGACTGTTTTAGATAACATGGTCAGAGAAGACTGCTCTGAAGAGGTGACTTTTGAGCAGAGACCTGAAGGAGATAAGGGAACAAGCCATGCCAAATTCTGCATTGAAGAGCATTCTATACAGAAAGAACACCAAGTGCAGAGGCCCCGAGATGGCCCGGATCTGGTGTGTTCAGGGAGTAGCCGGGAGGCCAGTACGGCCTCAGTGGATGAGGAAGGAGGGAGAGTGATAAGAGAAGAGGTCAGAGAGATAACGGGCCAGGTCACGTAGGATCTGGTAGGCGTTGGAAAAAGCTTTGGATTTCACTGAGTGAAACTGGCATTGGAGGGGTTGAGCTGAGAGGTGCCATAAGCTCGTGTTAAGTTATAACAGTAACTGTTACATGCTGAGCAGCAGACAGTGTGCTGGTGCTGTGCACCGCTTCACATCCTGTGGGTCTTCCTACATCCTTACAGCTACCCCATGAAGTAGATCCGATTTTCACCTCAGAGGTGAACTTGCCCAAAGTCACAGAATCAGTAAGCTTTGGGGCCAGGGTTCAGATCCAGATCCAGCTTACTCTGAAGCAAAGCATCATTCTACCTGCTGTAGACAGTGCCCTTGTGTGGGAATCAGGAGTCCTCCATTTGTGCCCTGGCCCTGCCTCACTGTTCTGCTCTTGTGCTTGAGTGACTCACTGCTAGAACCTGCTCCAGGTTCTTTAAGGCCCTGCCCACCTCGGAGAAGTCTCGTAGGGTGAAGGTAGGTAACAATGGGACCAGTTTCTGAGCTATAAAACTGTGCACACATGAAGAATAATCTGCTCACAGTGAACTGGGCTCTTGCTTTTTCCTTCTCTTGGGTCACAACATAAATGAGAACATGTAGTCTCTCTTCCTTCCACACACATCTTTCTGAGGATTGTTACCATCTTTCTACACCTACAGGTTTAATCCCTGAACAAGCAACTCCCAAATCTCATCTTTGTCTCTGACTTTGCTACTGGGCCTGGCAGCCTCCTGACTCACATGTGGCTCCTTACATCTTCCATATACACTGCTGACCTCAGCATCTTCCTGCCATTTCTCCTCCCGTATCAATGACAGCCCGCTGGGCCTTATCCTGGACACCCCCCTTTCCCCTCCCCTCCTGCTCTAGTCAGACACCAGTGCTATACATGCACTGACTGTATGCCTCCTGAATACATCTCTCCATCATCTCCTCTCCACCCTCACAGCATCCATCCCAGGTACAAAGTAAGCATCCCAAATCCAACATGGTGCTCAAAGGAAATACATATTGGAGCATTTCAGATTTTCCGATTTGGGACGCTCAGCTGGTAAGTATAATGCAAATATTGTAAAATCTGAAAAAATCCAAAACACTTCTGGTCCTAAGCTTCTCAAATAAGGGATACTCAGCCTGTATCATGCTCTCTTTTCTGGCTTACTAGAAGCTCACACCCTCTCCTTGAAGACACTTTTCTTCTTTTCAAAGCACTTTTGTATCATGTTTGTTCTTCACCGTGAGCCAGTGAAGTGATCAAGGTTTACTTAAGTGTCCTCAGTGTATTGGTGAAGAACCAGACCCAGTGAGGGGCCAAGACTCTCTCGAGGTTGCTCAAGGAACCAGAGAAGGAACAGGACTCAGACTCAGGTTTCTCCCCGCTCTTAAGCAGATTGGAGGTGAGTCAGGGAGTCATGAAGAGGGCAAGGTGTGGGGATCAGTCTGTCAGCTTGGCTAGAGCAGGAGCGGGGCTGACGGGGAGAGGTGATCAGGATAGCAGGTGCTATCAGCAGCTCTCAGATAGTGAGCACCTGCCATGTGTCAGGTGCCACGCTGGATAACTTATGAGTTCTAGCTCCTTTCATCCTTATGATAATCCTGTGAGGAAGGAATTCCTATCCCCACTTGCCAGGTGAGATAACTGAGGCATAAATGAAAGTGGTTCCTTATTTGTGTCCACAAAGCCAACAAGAGGCAGTACCAGGTTTGAACTCAGATCTGTGTAGCTCCGGAGTCCAGGCTCCTTCCTACCCAGGCTTATTATCTAGCAGAGGCAACTAAACATAATGGCTGAGGATATGGTTCTAGAGCCAGGCGGCCTGGGATCAAGTCCTGGCTCCATTGCTGTATTGGCTGTGTGACTTTGGGCAAGCTGCTTAACCTCTCGGGACCTCAGCTTCTTCATTTGTAAAGTGGGGGTAATAATAGCATCTATCTCGGAGAGTTGGTAGGGTCAAGGGAGTTCATTTAGAATAGTAGGTGCCATAAAGGCTATCTGGAATGTCCAGGAGAGCCAGGGAGCCATTCCTGAGTAACTGCCCTCCCTCACCACAGGATGGCAGCGAAGAGACAAGCACGTCTGTCATGCAGAAAACCCCCATCATCCTCTCAAAACCTCCAGCAGAGCGGGTGAGCAGGGAAGAGCCTCCAGAAGAGGGAGGAGGGGAGTGATTAGGGAAGGGGTCGCCCCCATTGACTGAAACCTTCTTACTCCCTATAGTCAAAGCAGCCACCGCCTGCAACGGCCCCTGCTGCTCCGCCTGCTCCAGCTCCTCTGGAGAAGCCCATCGTCCTCATGAAGCCACGGGAGGAGGGGAAGGGGCCTGTGGCCGGGACAGGTGCCTCTACCCCTGAGGGCACCGCCCCACCACCTCCTGCAGCCCCTGCACCACCTAAGGGGGAGAAGGAGGGGCAGAGACCCACACAGCCTGTGTACCAGATCCAGAACCGGGGCATGGGCACTGCCGCACCAGCCGCCATGGATCGTGAGTTGGGGCCGAGCAGGATTGGGTTGGGAACTAGCAGCCCCCTCACACGCAGACCTTTACTGCATCCTCTGTCTCCTTTCTCCTGTCTCCAGCTGTTGTCGGCCAGGCCAAACTGCTGCCCCCAGAGCGCATGAAGCACAGCATCAAGTTGGTGGATGACCAGATGAATTGGTGTGACAGTGCCATTGAGGTACTAAGTGGTCCCTCCCTGCCTGAGCTTCCCCGGGTCTCAGCTCCCAATCCTCTGTCCCTCTACTCCTACCTTCAGCTCCTGATAGGCAGCACCAGAGTTGACAGCTTGCAGGCAAGTGTAGCTATGAGAATCAGAAAGTTCTCACCTAAGCAGATGTGAATTTCAACTAGCTGTCTCCTGGACCTTGCTGTAGTACCTTTCCTGTTTGAAATTCACGCTGTCCCAATGTTAACTGTTCTGAATGTCACTCCCCAGCTATCACCCCCCTCCATTCCAGCAGCCCCTGCTCTAGTTCAGACACCTCACATTCCTGCAGCATCATTCTTACCTCCAGTCTCTCAGTCCTCATGCCCCGTCACCTGCTGCTTTTTCTCCTCCAGACTTGTCTCGTCATACCCCTGCTCAGATTCTCCCAGAGGTGTCCCCTCTCCTTCCCCCGCAGCCTTATTAGGACAACCTCAGGCTCATTTATTACCTGGCCATGTTCACTCTCACATGGATGTCAACTGGAGAGTTTTATTTATTTTATTTTATTTTATTTTATTTTATTTTATTTTATTTTATTTTATTTTTTTGAGACAGAGTCTCACTTTGTTGCCCAGGCTAGAGTGAGTGCTGTGGCGTCACCCTAGCTCACAGCAACCTCAAACTCCTGGGCTCAAGCAATCCTGCTGCCTCAGCCTCCCAAGTAGCTGGGACTACAGGCATGTGCCACCATGCCCGGCTAATTTTTTCTATATATATTAGTTGGCCAATTAATTTCTTTCTATTTATAGTAGAGACGGGGTCTCGCTCCTGCTCAGGCTGGTTTTGAACTCCTGACCTTGAGCAATCTGCCCGCCTTGGCCTCCCAGAGTGCTAGGATTACAGGCATGAGCCACCGGGCCCGGCCAACTAGAGAGTTTTAAATTTAAAAAAGCCAGTATCCAGACCCTACCTTCCAGTACCTTTCAGCACTGTCAAGTAGAACTTTCTGCAATGATGAAAATGTCCTATATTTGCACTATCTAGATGGTAGCCACTATCCCCATATGTGGCGCTTGAAATGTAGCTAGTACAACTAAAGAACAGAATTTTTAATGTTAAATAGCCACATATGATCAGTGCCTACCTGTGAACAGGGCAGCCCTACATAGTCTGATTTAATGTGTTAAAGTACATTAAATCCTGGTTGGTCCCAGGATTCGGCTTTTTTTTTTTTTTTTTTTTTTTTTTTAATTCTCCAGGTGGTTCTAAACTACCACAGGAGTTCAGAAGGACACAGCTGTTTTCCTTGAGGAGAGTCTCTTACACCCCCTGGTGGTGAAAGTCAGCAGAGCTGGTGACCCAGAGCTGAAGGTCTCAGATTTCACAGACGGCATTAACAAATGTTAAAAACTAAATAAAACAAAACACAGGCAAGAGAGCTGGATAGGCTGATCTCCCCTCTCTGCACACCACTACTTTTCTTGTGCTTCCTCATGTTTTCCCAACCAGCCTGAAGTAGGAAGCCTCTCAAGAGACCACTAGAGTAGCTCTCACTTACTGGGTCCTGTCTTCTCGAACCTACTCTTCTGTGCCTCTTACCTGCTTTTCCCCGAGATCACATTTTCCTTTTTCCCACTGTGTTCCAGCCACACTGACCTCGTTTCAGCTTCTTGACTGCCAGGATTTTTCTACTTCAGAGTTCTTATAGATCAGTATCAGTATTTTTGTGCCCAGAACATTCCACATAACCCTACCATGACAGAACAGAGGCCCTATGACCCATTTAGAGGATTACGACTGTAGAAGTTTTTATTCATATCTGATAAGGCAGATGGGCGAGCCACAGAGGTGTCTGGGGTCCCCCATCTCACTCTAGCCCCAGCAACTGACAGATCTGTGAGGGTCATACTCCTCTGTCTTTCCACAGTACCTGTTGGATCAGACTGATGTGCTGGTGGTTGGTGTCCTGGGCCTTCAGGGGACGGGCAAGTCCATGGTCATGTCATTGTTGTCAGCCAACACTCCAGAGGAGGACCAGAGGTGAGTGGGGAATCACATAAAGGATATGTGGAGTCTAAGAGGGAGGTAGGCACCCACCATGGACAGGGGCAAAGTGGGTCTGGGTGTTACAAATGGTGTTACCAAAGGACTTTGGGAAGCTGCTTTTCTTCTTTGGGTCTCAGTGTCTTCGTGAGATGAAGATGATTATGGTCTGGACAAAACCCATGTAGTTTCAGTGCAACCAATCCTATTCCTCCTTCCCTTCCTTGCTTGCCCCAGGAAATGGTACAGGCCCCAGCCAGGAAGTGGGATGATACAGTCATTAAGGCTTTAGATTTAGGGCTACCGCAGGCTCAGCCCTGCTACTTATCAGTTGGTTGACCTTGGGCGGATCACTTCACTGCCCAGTATCCCACATCCATGTGGATTTTTGGAGGATAAAATAAGATCAGGAAGTTAAAAGTTGACGAGCACCTGGCACAGAGCAAATATAGGATGGTGGCTGATACATACGGTCAGGGAAAAGAGATCTGGATAAAGGGAATGGGTTCTGTACCAGCCTCAGTCTTGCTGTGTCACCTTGGGGAATGGCTTTACCTCTCTGGGCTGGGGAGGACCAAGCATGATTATTCCCTGCTCAAAACAACATTCTTGAGTAAAGATGGGATATGATTAAGAAAATAAAGGAAAGTCAAGAACAGTGACTCACACCTGTAATCCTAGCACTCTGGGAGGCCAAGGGTGGGGGATCACTTGATCTCAGCAGTTTGAGACCAGCCTGAGCAAGAGGAAGACACTGTCTCTACTAAAAAAAAATAAAAAATAGAAAAATTAATGAGGCATCATGGCACATACCTGTAGCCCCAGCTACTTGGGAGGCTGAGGCAGGAGGATGGCTTGAAACCAGGAGTTTGAGGTTGCTGTGAGCTAGGCTGATGCCACTGCACTCTACTTGGGGTAACGGAGCGAGTCTCTGTCTGGAAAAAAAAAAGGTTAAAGTTACAGGAACAGATTTGGGGAGGGGAGAGGTTAAGAAATAGGGCCTGATATGGGGCAGAGAAGGAAAAGGAGAAAGGCAGGGGTTAAGGAGTGGGGGAGGTATAAAACCTAATTAAGGAAGAATCAGAATGGGGAATGAGAAGGGCTAGTAGCCATAATAGGTGGTAAGAAACAGACTCAAGTTATCTTTAAAAAGTAAGGGTTTATGGCCAGGCGCGGTGGCTCATGTCTATAATCCCAGCACTTTGGAATGCTGAGGTGGGAGGGTTGTTTGAGGCCAGGAGTTTGAGCCTGCAATGAGCTATGATCACACCACTGCACTCCAGCCTGAGTGACAGAGCTAGACCCTGCCTCTAAAAAAAGGAGGGGGGAAGGAAGGGCAAGTGATGTTACAATGGACTTCACATACAGGCATCAGGAAGTTTATAAACCCCCCCCCCCAACAGTGTGCAGAACTTTACACACATCTGCAATCGGATTTCTATGGGAAAGGTCCATTCTTTTCACCAGATCTCAGAGGGAGCTGAGTCTCCTTTTCTGGAGACCCAGAAAAGGTTAAAAAAAAAAAAAACCACTACCCTAAGAATCTACATGCACTAGAACCAGAGCTGCAAGGATCCTCTGCCTGTCTCCCAGGGCAGCTCCATCCCCCCTCTTGTCTGCTCACTCATGACTTTACCTCATCTTGGTTCCACTTTGGAACAGCTCCAGCTCTCTCGAATAACATTCTTTCCACTTCAGCTTTCACCCCCAACTGGCAAAATTTCCCCATGGCTCTGGATTCCTGGACTAGAGAGAACCCTATTGGCTCAGCTTGTCTTTTTGTCCACTGACTTTGGTACCAGCACTTTTCATCAGGTCTCATAGGTGTTACCTCCTGATTCTGTTTATAATTCATCTATTTCTCCCCTCCTTCATCCCCACCTCCTTGGTCCAAGCCATTGATATCTCACCTGGAGGATGCCGAAAGCCTCCTATCTGGTCTCCCAGCTTTAGTTCAATTCAACAAATACTGTATTTATTTAACGCTTACCATGTGCCAGGCACTGTTCTAGATGCTGGGGATACAATGGTATAACTAAGAAAATCTGCCCTCATGAGGCTTATATTTTAATGGAGAAGATAGTAAACAAAATAAATATGTTATTTGGCATGTTAGAAGGTGATAACAAAACAGAAGAGGTTATAGGGAGAGGGGGTGGGCTGGATTACAATTTTAAATAGGGTGCTGAGGGAAGGCCTCACTAAGGGGAACATTTGGGGAAAAACATCCTTGGAGGAGGTGGTGCATTCCAATGAGCAGGAGTGGCAAAGCCTCTGAGGTGGGAGTTTGCCCGGTGTGTGCAGACGGCATGAGGCCTGGGAGCTGGAGCAGAGCAAGCAAGAAGGGGAGCTGTAGGAGAAGAGGTCAGAGAGGCAAAGGGAGACCCCCACGGCACTGGGTCTCGTAAGCGCATCTCCAGTTTCCCATCTTACGGTCCTTGCCACACAGCAGCAGGTGGGAACTTTCAAACCCAAATCCAGTCTTGTCACTGCTCTACTCAGATCTCTTTGTTGCCCAGGTTTACAGGCCGAAGCCCTAGCTCCTTACCATGCCCCACAAGGGCCTGCGTAACCTCTGCTTGCTCCCTAGCTCCTCTGGCCCCTGTCTTTCTGCTCTTACCATACTGGTCCTTGATTCCGTGTACAAGCCACGTGTCTTCTGCCTGGTGTAGCCATTCTCCACGTTCATCCCCCACCTCGCTCACACCCCATCCCCACCCCGCCTGATTGACTCCCTCTGTCTCTCTCACCCTTAGCATCATCATTTCCCTCTTCAGGGCCACCCTTTCCCACTCCACCCAGTAAGTTATCTGCACTTGGAACATTGCATGCCGCTGCCTTCTAACACCCACAGTTACTGATTTCTGTTGATTTGTAAGGTAGACCAGAAGTTCTGTGGAAGTGGAGACTTTTTCTTACTGCTGTATCCTGCTCTCTGGCAGATAGGAGGTTTTCAGTATAATGTTTGTTAAGTGAGAGGATGCCTGTTCTGTGTCAGACAACGTATTAAGCATCTCTGGGAGATAGAAATTTCCCTTTGAGAGGTAGGTACTATTCTGATTTTACAGATTGAAAAAGATAAAATCACTTAGTCCCAAGTCACAGAGTCACCAAGTTAAAGGTAGTGGTTTAGGGCAAGGCCCACCTCTGCTTGCTTTGCCCTCGTACCCCTAGCACCCAGCACAGGTAGAAACGAGGAAGATGTGTCTAATGGGAAAACTGGGAACCAAGACACCAAACTACCTCTCACCATGGGGGTGGGGGGCTTTCAGTCCTGCATCTCCAGTACCTGGAATCTCACAGGTGCATTGGTAATTAATAGCTTACAGTTACATATCACTATGTATCAGGCACTGTTCTAAGGGCTTCATGTATGTTAACCTCACAGTAATCTTAAGAGATTTGATTTCCTCATTTTACAGATGAGGAAACTAAGTGGCCAGGAAGAGACAGAGCTGGGGTATGAATCCCACCAATCTAGCAGAGTTTTTGCTCTTAAACTCCTCAGTCTACTGGCTTCATTAATTGAGCTAATCAATCTACTTATGGGTAGGAGTAAAGTCATCTGATAGAAAACCTGTCCCTGCCCCAGACATGGACCACAGATGGAGGCTTAGTGAGCAGGCAAGGAGCCACATTTCATGTGCTCAGCTCTGAGTCTTTCTTTGGGGATGTCAAAGGTCAAGAACTAGAAATCTCATGTACCCCCACCTGCTTCTCTCCACAGGGCATATGTTTTCCGGGCACAGAGTGCTGAAATGAAGGAACGAGGAGGCAACCAGACCAGTGGCATTGACTTCTTTATTACCCAAGAGCGGATTGTTTTCCTGGACACACAGGTGCCAGCCCCCACTTGCCCCACCCTGCCACATGCTGCATTCAGCCCCATCCTGGGGTATTTTTAAGTCAGAACCTGCATGGATTCCATGTGCTTCCGGTGATGCCATGGGTGCCCTTGAGCAAGTCGTATCTTTTCTTGGCCTTTAGTCTCTTCTTGTCACATTTTGCCCCCGTCCCATTCACCTTCTGCAAAATAGCCTTCAAATGTATTTAAAAGAGTGGGCCCTGGAGTCTGTTCAGATCCTGCCTTTTAATTTTTACCAGCTGAGTAACTGTAAGTAAGTTTTAACACCCTTAACTTCAGTTCTTTCTCTGTAAATAGGGATGATAATTGTACTCAGCCTCTTAGGAGTTTCAAGGAATCAGTAGGACACTCCAGACAAAGTGCTTGGTCAGGACCTGGCACAAGGTTATTGCTGAGGCTTGTTTAGAACTGACCTGTCATATATTTGCCTGGCAGTTTTCCTCAGCTTCTCTCTTGCTTTCAGGCTAAGTCCAGATTCCTGGATTGGAGTTGTATGGCTTGACTCCTTCAGACTGTCTCTCCTCACCTTCTGGGGCTGCCACCTGCGCCACCACCACACACACAGACACACCACAAGTGCTCGCTGTGGTTTCTCTCCTCTCTGGGCTTTCCACATCCTGTTCTCTTTACCAGAAGACACCAATGAACTGTGCGGCCATGGTCAAGTTATTTAACAGTTTGGTTCCTCAGGTTTTTTAAGTGGAGAATACCATGTTGCCTACATCATAGGGTTTTAATGAATTAATACAAGTCAAGTCCTAATGACAGCACCCAGTACATATTAGGTGCTAAATGCTCTTAGCTGTTCATATTGTTATCAGTACTTTTTGCCTGGCTGATGCCTCCTACTTCCTGAAGAGTCCTCTGGGGAGTCTTCCAAACTGTTGCCCATGTGCACCTCCCTTTGTAGCTCGTGATTCGCCATAGTCTCATTGCCACAGTGTGTGCTCCTGCTCCCCACCTGCCTGTAGCTCTTCAGGGCCGGGCCCTGGCTCTGTGGATCAGGGCTGCGGCACACAGGGCCCGGCCCATAGTTGGTGCTCATAGTTGGTGGAACAGAGTTCTGATCGCTGGCACTGATGCACACAGTAGAAAACCTACAAGTGTGACATGAGGCCTGTGTAGGGACCTCCAGGACCTAGAGACAAATCAAACAAGCTGTGGGCTGAATTAGAGACCTGTGAGGGAGAGAACAGAAGTTAACAAAGCCAGACAGAACGGAGCACTGCTCAATGTTTAGAGTTTTAGAAAGTGAGCAGTTGTGAAAGCCCCTTTCTAAAAGAATTTCACTCACCGCAGTAAAAAGTCAATAGACTATCGAGTTAATTTAGCTCTTGTAGTTTTCTTTTTTTGAGACAGTCTCGCTTTGTTGCCCAGGCTAGAGTGAGTGCCGTGGCATCAGCCTAGCTCACAGCAACCTCAAACTCCTGGGCTCAAGCAATCCTACTGCCTCAGCCTCCCGAGTAGCTGGGACTACAGGCATGCGCCATCATGCCCGGCTAATTTTCTCTATATATATTAGTTGGCCAATTAATTTCTTTCTATTTATAGTAGAGACAGGGTCTCGCTCTTGCTCAGGCTGGTTTCGAACTCCTGACCTCAAGCAGTCCGCCCGCCTCGGCCTCGCAGAGTGCTAGGATTACAGGCGTTTGCCACCGCACCTGGCCTCTTGTAGTTTTTTAATTGACAGTTTCTTTTAAAAAAAAAAAAGTCTGGTATAGTGTTATAGCTCTTTTACAATTTGTCTTGCAGGTTTTCCGGTCCTCACCGGAAGAACCCCCCACCACCATGAAAATTTTTTTTTTAAAAAGTTTGGTGAACTCACTGCCTGTTCTTTTACATGCACCGATGCAATTTTTAAATCCTCACCAATTTTCACACTGATCATTGTTATTTGACCTAAGCAATTATTTTAACAAAGTTTTGAAAGCATGTGAAACAACTAACAACATAAAGAGTCCTTGAGTGACATAACTCATTCAAGTAAATGTTAAATTTATTATCACTAGGAGATTTCTTCTCTTTGGACATGAGACACTTGAGAACAGCAATGATTTGTAAAGGAGCTGGGGAAGTGTATCTGCTGTAAAATTTCTTTTTCAGCTTCCTCTTGCTGACTGACTGCTGATTAGAAACTGCCTGCTTATGTTTCTGACCCGGTTTGTCCTGAGATAGGCAACATACTTGCCTTTAGCATGTGGAACTTGGGTAGCTGTGACTAGCCCCTTCCTTCCCTGACTCTCTGCTCTCCTTGCTCCAGCCCATCCTCAGCCCCTCCATCTTGGACCATCTCATCAACAATGACCGCAAACTGCCTCCGGAGTACAACCTTCCACACACTTACGTGGAGATGCAGGTGAGGGAGCCGAGTCAGGCATGGGGGTGAGGTTTTACACCCCCAAGCCCAACCTCCCAAGATCTGTGATGGAGAGCTGGGTATGGGTTGTTGACTTAGTTTCTGCTTCATAAGAGCCCCAGGTACCCCAAGGGCTGCAGGAAAGGGGCATATTTGAGAGTCAGAACTGGCTCAACTCCTGGGTCTGGTCCTCAGGCAAGTTATTTTCTGCCCACTCCCACTGTTGTTTTTTCTTTTTTCTTTTTTTTTTTTGAGACAGAGTTTCACTTTGTTGCTTGCCATGGCATCAGCCTAGCTCACAGCAACCTCAAATTCTTGGGCTCAGGTGATCCTTCTGTCTCAGCCTCCTGAGTAGCTGGGACTACAGGCATGTGCCACTATGCCCAGCTAATTTTTTCTATATATTTTTAGTTGGCCAATTAATTTCTTTCTATTTTTTAATAGAGATGGGGTCTCACTCTTGCTCAGGCTGGTTTTGAACTCCTGACCTTGAGTGATCCACACGCCCCGGCCTCCCAGAGTGCTAGAATTATAGGCGTGAACCACCACGCCCAGCCCCACTCCCACCTTAAACCTCAGCATTCACCTTTGTAAAATGGGAGTATAATTCCTACCTTTCTTGTTTTAGGGATGGTCTGTAAGGGAAGTGTCAGGACAGTGCTGGGCACATAGGGTCTGAGGCCTGTGCCCTCTTACCCCTGAGCTGAGTCCTAGATTAGTGACCCCAGTGTGAGCAAAAGGGACTCTCAACTCTGTTGTCCCTTCCTACCCACAGTCTCTCCAGATTGCTGCCTTCCTCTTCACGGTCTGCCACGTGGTGATTGTCGTCCAGGACTGGTTCACGGACCTGAGTCTGTATAGGTGAGGAGCTGGGGGAAGGGGAGCAGTGAGGCAGGAGTTAGCCACAGGGACTGAGCCACTGGCCCACAGTCTTTAAACCTGTGCATAGGTTTTGCACAGCAGCCCAAAGGACCCTTTTAAAATGTAAGTTGGGGGGCCAGGCGCAGTGGCTCACGCCTGTAATCCTAGCACTCTGGGAGGCCGAGGCGGGTGGATTGCTCGAGGTCAGGAGTTCGAAACCAGCCTGAGCAAGAGCGAGACCCCATTTCTACCATACATAGAAAGAAATTAATTGGCCAACTAATATATATAGAAAAAATTAGCCGGGCATGGTGGCGCAGGCCCGTAGTCCCAGCTACTTGGGAGGCTGAGGCAGAAGGATTGCTTGAGTCCAGGAGTTTGAGGTTGCTGTGAGCTAGGCTGATGCCACAGCACTCACTCTAGCCTGGGCAACAAAGCGAGACTCTGTCTCAAAAAAAAAAAAAAAAAAATGTAAGTTGGGCCAGATTATAGGCAGTGGTTCAGGCCTATAATCCTAACACTCTGGGAGGCCAAGGCCGGTGGATTGCTTGAGGTCAGGAGTTCAAGAGCAGCCTGAACAAGAGTGAGACCCTGTCTCTACTAAAAACAGAAAAATTAGCCAGGTGTCATAGTGTGCACCTGTAGTCCCAGCTACTCGGGAGGCTGAGGCAAGAGGATCACTTGATCCCAGGAGTTTGAGGTTGCAGTGAGTGATGATTGCACCACTGTACTCTACCCAGGGCGACAGGGCAAGACTCTGTCTCAAAAAGATAATAATAAAATAAAATAAAATGTAAGTTGGAGCAGTCAACCCCACCTAAACCCCCATGAAAGCATGCACATACACACACACACACACACACACACACACACACACACACACACACAGCCCTCAACTGACTTTATGTATTTATCAGAATAAAATCTAGAGTCTCTCCCTGCATGGCTTACAAGGTCCTATACCCTCTGGTCACCTTGCTGACAGTTCCCACTGCTTTGCCTCCCTTCATTAAAGCTGTAGTGACCTCATGGCTGTACCTCCTGCACCTCAGGACCTCTGTGCTCATCTCTCAGCTGGAAATACTCTACCGTATGTAGATCTTCTCGGACTCCTTCCCTCATACCATTCAGGTTAACCTCAGGCTTTCCCTGACCGTCTAACGTAGCATCCCTGTTACTCTCCCCCTTCTTCTTCCCTGCTGTGTTTTCCTTCATTGGCTCTCCCTGTCAGGATGGTATAGCTCTCCTTATCCCTCTCCCCCATTAGAATGTAAGCCCCAGGAGGGCAGAGTCCCCAGCGCCTCACACAGTACCTGGCACGAGGTAGATGTTTAGTACAGATTTGTTGAATAAATAGCATGGAGCTGGCTTGTCTGGTCCTTGGAGTTCTGTTGTCCATCTCCTCCAGGCAAGTGTGCCAAACTGTTGGTACCCTGGCAGGCAGGAAAAGAGAGGGAATCAGGACCTGGCAAGAGTCCTGCCTGAAGCAGCTGCAGGTCCCAGAAATGCCCCCAGACAAGACTGGCACAGGGCCCAGGGAGAAGGAAGGGACGGACGCTCACAGGGAGGGGAAACTGGGATTAGGAAGCAGATATCTCCAGAGTCAGGCGGCCCTGCATTTGAATCCCAGCTCTTACTGGGTATGTGTTTTCTTTCCTCAGTTCCTCATCAGCAGAACTATTTCATGCAGATAAAATGAGTTAAAGGCATTCAACATAGTACCTGGTACATAGTAAGCAGTTGACAAATGAGCGCTCACTGTGTTAGTAACCCTGGGGATGGGGGTGAGCTGTGGGTCTGGCCAGCAGCAAAAACGACTTGCTGGGGAGCTGGTTGTTCTGACCCCATCTAAGAGACTGAATTCTGAAGCACTCCCTCCCCCTCCCACCATAATCCATTGGGATTCATTGACATCTGGGCATGCTAGGCACTGTTCTGGGCACGAGGGATACAGATGTGAACAAAACACAAATCAGATTGCCCTTGTGGAGTTTAGGTTCTGGGGCTGGCGCACGACTGAGCCTGTTTTTAAGCCATTGTGTATAGGTGAGCCCCTTGAAATTGTGGACAGTGTTTTGTGTGAGGAGAATGTCTACCTATTTTACCAGATTCCATTATCCCTTAGCTTATGTTACAGATTTATTTTATTTACTTTCACATATTTGAAAAATTATTTTTAAATAGCATAAGCTAAAAACTTATGTTCACACAAAAACCTGCACACAGACGTTTGGAGCAGCTTTATTTGTAATTGCCAAAACTTAGAAGGAACCAAGATATTTTTCAGTAAGTTGAATGGATAAAGAAACATCCAGACAATGGAACATTATTCAGTGCTAAAAGCAAATGAGCTATCAAGCCATGAAAAGACATAGAGGAACCTTAATTACATATAATTAAGTGAAAGAAGCCAATCGGAAAAGGCTACAGACTATATGATTCCAACTATATGACATTCTGGAAAAGACAGAACTGGAGATGGTAAAAGATCAGTGATTGCCAGGGACTGGAGGGAGGGAGGGAGGGAGAGGGAGGGAGGGATGGGCAGAGCACAGAGGATTTTTAGGGCAGTGAAACTACTCTGTATGGTGCTGTGATGGTAGTGGATACTTGTTATACATTTGTCCAGACCCATGGAATGAACAACACCGAGAGTGAACCCTACTGTAAACTGGTGTGTCAGTTAGGCCATCGGTTATAACAAATATACCACTCAGGCCGGGCACGTTGACAGTGGGGGAGTGTGCATGTGGTAGGGGGAGGGGATATTTAGGAACTGTGCTCTATGCTGAATTTTGTTGTGAATCTAAAACTCTAAAACAAGTCTATCTTTTTAAAAGAGGATAAACCTAAATTGTACTGTTGACATAAGTCCATGGATTGGTGTCTGAGAGGGTTGTCTCTGAATTCTCTCAAATTGTGTGAGAAACATGGTCTGTATGTGGCATTTTTCTGACCATGGCTGTAGCTTTCATGGCAGTCTCGAAGGGTATCCTCTCCCCCGGCTGTGGGACGTGGGCTGCAGTGCAAAAGCCACAGCCTCTCACCCTCAACCCCAAGGTTCCTCCAGACGGCAGAGATGGTGAAGCCCTCCACCCCGTCCCCTAGCCACGAGTCCAGCAGCTCATCAGGCTCCGATGAAGGCACCGAGTACTATCCCCACCTGGGTGAGCGGCTCTCTGGGGGCTGGAGGGGTAGGCAGGAGGAAAAGGAGAGGGTGAAAGCCGGGAGCTCTCTGGGGAAGTGGGGAGGGAGAAGTGGGGAATCTGGAAGGAGCACTTCTGAGACGTGTGAGGAGAACAGTCCAAAAGGATTAGCTGCTACTTCCTCCCAGGTTCCCACTGCCTCAGTCCAACCCTGGCCACTGGGGGCATGATCCCTGAGTCTGGGTCTGACTCCATGGGACAGGCCCCAGGTCTGACTGTTTCTGGGTCCCTGGCACCTCTCAGCACAGGGCTGAGGAAATGAGTGTTGGGTGAATCCTAGTGGTCCCCATCCACATGTTTTCCCTCCTCCAGCCTTTGCACATGCCATTCCTTTGCCTGCTGTGTCTTTTCTCTGTTCTGCTTCTCTACTGCAAAGATCTAATATTCATTTATTACCCTTACATCAGACTGGGGGCTCCTTGAGGGCAGAAACTAGATCTGACCCACCCTGGGTCCTCTACATTGCCCTGCACACAACCTGTTGCTAAAGTGAAGTTACAGGCCAGGCACAGTGGCTCACTCCTGTAATCCTAGCACTCTGGGAGGCTGAGGCAGGCGGATCGCTCAAGGTCAGGAGTTCGAAACCAGCCTGAGCAAGAGCGAGACCCTGTATCTACTAAAAATAGAAAAAAATTAATTGGCCAACTAATATATATAGAAAAAATTAGCCGGGCATGGTGGCGCATGCCTGTAGTCCCAGCTACTCAGGAGGCTGAGGCAGGAGGATCGCTTAAGCCCAGGAGTTTGAGGTTGCTGTGAGCTAGGCTGATGCCACGGCACTTTAGCCCCGATAACAGAGTGAGACTCTGTCTCAAAAAAAATAAAGTGAAGTTACATAAATACACAGTGATCTGAACTCAAGATAAGGACAGCTCTCTAGGGTGAGAAAGGGGAGTTTATGAGGCCACGTGCTGTCTGCCTCACAGGGCCTATCTCCTCCCACCTCAGTCTTCCTACAGAACAAAGCTCGCCGAGAGGACTTCTGTCCTCGGAAGCTGCGGCAGATGCACCTGATGATCGACCAGCTCATGGCCCACTCCCACTTGCGTTACAAGGGTGAGGTTTCCAGATCACCCCCGAGCTAGCCAATAGCTTCCTAACTCCTGATCCAATCCCATGGCAGAAGCCCCCGGACTAGTCTCCTGACCCTGCCTCAACTATCAACTACCCCATCTCCCCAAACCTCCAATGTAGTACCTGCAAACCGAAGCATTTTCTTCTCCAGGTACGCTGTCCATGTTACAGTGCAATGTCTTCCCGGGCCTCCCGCCTGACTTCCTGGACTCTGAGGTCAACTTGTTCCTGGTGCCCTTCATGGACAGTGAAGCAGAGAGTGAAAACCCACCACGAGCAGGTACAGTGAGGCCGCACACAAATCTGGTTCTTGAGGAGACAGGTCCTGGCCTGGTCAGGAAGAGATGCAGGCCACGCTGGTCTAGGAGGTGATGTGGCTGCCCTGGTTTGAGAGTGGTGTGATCCCACCTGGTCTGAAGGAAGACTCTGGCCTGTCCCCAGGGTGCTAGGACTCTTTCTTAGGAATAAGTTTCAGAGTCACAAAAGTACAGGAAGAACTGAGCCAGGGCTGAGTGAGGTGTTTCTTGAAACCTAGGCTGCTGTTAACCGGGAGGGAGACCCTCTCCTGGCTGTCTTTCCCCCTTACCCTCCCTGCCTCCACTTTGCAGGACCTGGTACGAGCCCTCTCTTCTCCCTGCTGCCCGGGTATCGTGGCCACCCCAGTTTCCAGTCCTTGGTGAGCAAGCTCCGGAGTCAAGTGATGTCCATGGCCCGGCCACAGCTGTCCCACACAATCCTCACTGAGAAGAACTGGTAAGGACTCTTTTACAGAAGGAGTCAATCTGAGGTCCCCCCACTGGTGCAGACAAAAGGGGGCTTTCAGAGATCTGTATGACCTCATTGAGCCCCTCCTCTCCAGACCTCAGGCTCCTTTTCCCAGAACAGCGATGATCGCTGCCATCCTGTAAGCACCTCGCCAAGCTAAGCAACATGCTGTTTTCATGGGACTTTGTTTTTTTTGTTTTTTTTTTTTTTTTTTTATAGAAGTAGATCCTGCAGATTCATGGGACTTTGGATCCTCCTGATTAGCCAGCAGTGTTTAGATCTTGTCACAGATTTTACTGGTGGGGAAATTTAGGCTTAGAGGAAAATGTCATATAGCAAGGTCACACACCTGTGGTTAAGTGCCATTTGATTGCTGAGAATAGGACCAATGAGCCCAGTTAAGCTTGAAGATTTATTCCAGGGACCTGGTCGCAGAAATCATAGCCTTATAGGAGACAGGAAGCAGAAAGCCATCAGGAGCCACAGGAGCTGCACTGTCTAGCTCCCACTGGGTGGCACGGTGTCAGTGTCCCCACTCGTTTTCCTCCTCTGCCTGCTGGCTTTCTCCCCCTGCTTTCACACGGCCTTGCACCCCCTCCCCAGCCCCTCTGTGACTTCTGCGTCCAGAACCCGCAGCATATGGGTCCATGTCTGCATCTTCTTATTTCAAAAAGAAACAAATTTGAAGGAGAAATAGCTTGGCTCTCCGGGGTCTGTTTGCAGTCAGCTGTGGCCAGAGGGGCTGGGGTGCAAACACAGCAGCAGGAAGCCACTCAGGGCACTGCTGAGATGGCATTCAGTCGCAACTGCACTCCTCTCGTTGTTGTAAGGCAGGGCCCAGTGGGAAGGGGAAGAATTGGGAGGTAGAAGGTTTTGCAGCCGCTGTTAGATGTTCCCCATTGTCACAAGGCTCTGGAGGGAGGTGGAGATAGAACCGTTCCCACAAAGGCCGGCACTGAGTGCAGTGGGAGAAGTTTGGACCTCAAGGTGGGGACTAAGACCTCACGGTCTTAGTCCAAGCCCAGGCGCTTTCACCTTCACTCAACCTGAGTGAGCTAGGAGGAGCAGGGCTACCTCCCCTCAGTGTGAGCAACTTCCCTGCATCCTAGTTAAGGAGGCTGGGCTCCAAGAGGCTCAGAGTCACAGCTCAGGGTAGATACATGGGCCTCGGTTTTCCTCCCTGTGCAGGGCTGCTAGGCTGAGTGCAGCCCCATCCGGGGCACCCCTGACTGTTGACCTCCTCTCATAGGTTCCACTATGCTGCCCGGATCTGGGACGGGGTAAAAAAGTCCTCTGCCCTGGCAGAGTACAGCCGCCTGCTGGCCTGAGGCCGAAGGGAGGAATGTCATGCAGGGACCCTCCGGAGTCTCCAGTGGACGGCGAGGGAGCACTCCTGTCCTTCCCCCGGTGGGGTGGAGAGTGGCAGCAGGCCTCATGGACGAGGGATCGTGACCCCGCCCAGAGACATGAGGTGTCCAGGACCAGGTCCCAACCCTCACTTGGGGGCAGTTCAGGGTGTGACTTTAAGAGATCCCACCCCCAACCTGAGACGGGGCAGCCCATCCAAAGTCCCCCACAGGGGCAAGCAGTGGGAGGAGTCTGAATGGTCACCAGGAATCCCAAAATCCATCTTGATCTTCAGGGACAGAAGAAACAGGTCTGTCTTCCCTGACTCTAAGTCCTTCCCTATAAGGTGAGGCAGAGTCTGGAGAGTCTTTATTGGAGCCAATCTGGTGGTTCAAATAAACACAGTTATACAAACCTGTTCTCACATTCCTCTTATTCTCCTCTACCCAGTGCGCTGCCCGGGAAGCAGGGCACATCTGAGATCCAGCCCTCGTGGGCGGATTATCCCTGGCTACCCACCGGAGCTTGAATGAACTTCCCCCAGGGATACATTCACAGCACAGTGGGTCATAGAGTTGTCGGGAGCAAGTGGAGACCAGTCTCTGCTAAGGAGGAAGCTTCTAGAAAGGGCTGTTCTGTTGCCTGGGGCGGCATCAAGCCTCCCTTCTATGTGTGTTTTGGATTGGAAAATACGCTGCTCAGCTAAATACAGTGACTGCCCTCGTGTCTTCTGCTCTCAGTTGAAGACAGCTACCTGCCTTTGGGTTAAATGCCTGGTTAAATACAATGCCTGCTTTTGGTTGAAAGAATAGAAGTTGTCCTTCAATATAGTACTTACCTTTAGTTCAGATACCACACCTTGCCCTTATTCACAGTGCATGCTGTTGGTTGGACATGGTGGCTTCCTTCCCTTACAAACCTCATCTACTCTGGCTTAAAAACAGCAGTTCTGGCCAGGCACGATGGCTCATGCCTGTAATCCTAGCACTCTGGGAGGCCGAGGCAGGCGGGTCCCTCAAAGTCAGGAGTTCGAGACCAGCCTGAGCAAGGGTGAGACCCCATCTCTACTAAAAATAGAAAGAAATTAATTGGCCAACTAAAAATATATAGAAAAAATTGGCCAGGCATGGTGGCGTATGCCTGTAGTCCCAGGAGGGACTACCTCCTGTACTCAGGAGGCTGAGGCAGCAGGATCGCTTGAGCCCAGGAGTTTGAGGTTGCTGTGAGCTAGGCTGACACCACGGCACTCTAGCCAGGGCAACAGAGTGAGACTGACTCAAAACAAAACAAAAAAACAGTTCCTACCTTTAAATCCAGAACATATGGTAGCTCAGTTAAATATACTATACAGTTTGATAAAGTACTAACCTGTATCTGCTCAGTTTAATGCAGTACATACTGTCAGTTCAGTGTTCCCCAAAGTATGTCTCCACATTGGCCTTGCCACCCCAAATTAGGCCTCACGAGCAAATCATGCCAATCCACCATCAGTAAAGCAGTTCTGATCCAGCCAGCTGAGTCTCTTGTCTGCGCACTAGCACTGACCCCACCCCATGCCACTTCATCTCCTTGTCCCTCCTGCTTTTGGGACATACCCATACCACCCTATTGTTTCATGGGATGGGTATCCCAGGGCCTTTTGAAAGCAAAGCATGGCTGAAGGGGGTGGAGAGCAGTGAAGAAAGCACTCAGAAGGCCAAAGAAGGTTAGGCCAGAAGCGAGGTGTCTCTACAGGTCCCTCTAGAGGGGCCAAGGTCTGGGAGGTATGAGACCCGGGGCAGGCTCTGGCGCCGCCACCTCCTGACTGGCCTTAGGCAGGAGCCTCCTCTCTGGCCAGTATGCCAATGTTAAGGCAGTCCTCAAGGCCTGCTGGACCTGTGGCCTTGACTCCCCTGTCACAGAAAAGCTGCTGAATCCCTTGCCCCTCTGTCCCAGTCTGTGTAGAAACCCTCCTAACTGCCCTCCAGCTACATAACTGAGCTCTTCCCTGCCTCGTCAAAACATCTGTCGATGTCCCATCCCCACCCCCTGCTTCCCAGGGGGTCTGTCTGCTGGTTGACTTGGGGTTACCAGGGAAGGTGGGGGCAAAGCTGTAAGACCTAAGGCAAGAAAGCACAAGACAGCACATGGCTGGGCCCGGGAGAGTCATAAAGCTTGAGATGCTTCCTTCCCATCCCCTAACACCACGCAGCGGGAGACAGGCAGAACTGTGTCCTCCTGGCCCTTCCCTGCCACCTCTAGCTGCTCTGGGATCAGGGCTGAGATCGACCGGATTCACTTGGGATCTTGTGGTGGGTGTTGTCAAGGGAGGTCTGAATCTTGCATGCTCTGGGTGGTCGTGGCTGCCACGTCCAGGGATGTGTGATGCATCTGGTAGATGGTGGTGATGGAGGAGCTGTAGAGGTGGCCAGGGTGCCTAGGACGGGTGAAGCCTGGCCTAGCCTTTCCACCACCAGTGCTGTGGTGACCTTGGCCCATGGGCCCTGTCCTGCCTCTAGGATTCTGTGCAGGTGCTGGCCCATTTGTCCAGCCAGCTTGACAAGGGAGTTGTGCTATGGCAGTAGCCTTCCAGGGGGTGGATGAGTGTGTCTGGGTCTCACGCCACACCCAGTATGCCTGGCACAGCACTCAGGTTGATGCTACAGGCCACTGTGGCCACCAGCCAGATACGCTGCCGCAGGGAGGCCTTCTCTAGGATGGGCTGCAAGACGTCGGGCACAGCCACCAGGAACACCTGCCGCCTGTGGCTCTCCCCTTCATCTCCTCCAGCAGGTGGAAGGCACCCTTGCCCAGTTCAAACATGGAGAGTAGGAAGATCTTGGAATCCTTCACGCCTTCTACTGCAGGAAACACGCACACTGCTCAGTCAGTTGCTGCGCTGGGGCAGGCTGCGCACTGCCAGGTACTGACGGCTGCCCGGGCTCCAGCACTTGTTATGAGCATAGCACTTGGCTTAGGAAGGCCAGCCCTGGAGCCAGACCACCTGAGCCTTGCCACCTACACCGCGTGGCCTTGAGCATGTTACCAAACCTCTCTGACTTGTTTTCTTATCTCTAAAATAAGATGATAATTATCTGTCTCCTAGGAGTGTTGTGAGTTGAGCTCATGAAATTGGCGCCTGGCCTGTGAGATGCCATCAGTCATCCCAGGTGTTGGATCTGCATTGGGCACAAGGCATTTGCAACACTCTGGCTTTGCAAATCTGTGAGCCAATACATACCCTTTTTTTCCTTAATACAAGTGATCGGCCTCTGTCACCAGTGACTGACAAGTGGCGACTGTCAGGAAATGGCAGCTGTCAGCATTATTTCACTGTGGGGCCCAGTCCAGTTACACAGTGTAACCTTGGGTGACCCCTTTTCCCACTCTGGGCCTCTGCTGGAAGACAGAGGGGAAGGGAGAGGCAATCCCTCAAGGATCCAGCCCCCCCCCCAGCCCCCCAGAGTCTGCACCTGACCTTCAGCTCTGCTGGCAGCATCCTGGATCTATCTGGCTGGGCCCACTGTCCTCAGGGCAGGGGCCGAGCGGTGGCTGCAGGGAGTGGCGAAGTCCGTGTCCGTCTGGGAGCAGAGGAAGCAGAAGCACTTGCCCTGCTGCAGGGTCCCACAACCAGATGATGACATTGGGGTACTTGGGGTGCAAGTGTGCAGTGTGGGGTTCACAGCCATTTCCACCGTACCCATGCAGGCTGAGTTGAGGGTCTTCATCTTGAAGCCCCTCAGAGTGTTGACAGGTCAACTTGCTTGAGCCTGTCCCCCTGGTAATGCCAATGTCCGGCCTGACATTCTCCAGGCAGTGAAGTGTGGCCTGCAACTTGGCAGCTGCTACTGGCAGGTTGCCCGCCTTGGGGACCTCCGTCAGAGCTCTGGCCCTCTCTGGCGACAGCATCAGTGTCTTGAACTGACACTTGGCAGGGCTTTGCTGGCCACGGGCTGCCGGATCCCTAGTTCTCCGTCTTCACAGCCTGGTGAGCTTCAGCAGGACAGGTAGGGGAGTATTTTCACTCTGGGTTGCCCTGTCTCTAGATCCTTCTGCATGTCTGTCATTAATTTGTATAATACAGCTGCTGCCTTGGCATTGATTTTTAGGCCTTACGTTGTCTGAAACCCAGTCATACCTTGTCCCCTTGGCCTAGTATAAGGACTTCCCTTCCCCTTGTGGTCGTTTCCAATATAGCCCACTTGTTCCTCATCTCACCGGCCAAAAACATACACATCCCATAGTGGCTGACCGTGATCAAACCTAACAGTCAACATCAGGCCATGCGAATTTCCCCCTTCCAGCGTGTTTTCTTTAAAATCGCCGATCCACACCCCACCCCCATGGGAAAGCCCAAGGGATAACACCCCAGGCCTTAATAAAGGTGTAGGCCACAGGTTCCTGCCTTCATACTCGCTCTGCCACCCACTGGCTAAGCTCCCTGCCACCCTAGGCTTCCCATCAGCCTCCCGTTGGCACCCCTAACCTCTGCGTCTGAGTAAGAAATTTCTTCTGTTTTATGCATCTTCGTTTCACCTTCCTGTCGTGTCTCACCTGACATGCAGCTGTGAAAGGTGATCACAGGAATTGGTCATTCTTGTCATCCACGACTAAATCAGAGCTGAGGGGCCAGGGGCGAAAGGCACTCATGGCATATGCAGTGTTGCTCTAGACATGTAATTCTCTGCAAGTCCAGCTGCTGAAACTGCCTGTTATAACCTGAAACCAGTTTTACCTGTAGCTGCTGAGATAACTTCTGCAACTCAAAGACTGATTTTGCCGGCCACTGTCACCCTAACAGTCAGAGCTTGCCAACTCCCCAGAGCTGTACTGATATCAATGAGCTTTCTCTCATGCCTTTTTTTTAATAAAACCTCCAACCTTCTCTTTGTTCTTCAGGCATTCCAAAGACCACCTGGTCTGCATGTATGCCCCAAAATGCAATTCTTTTTTTTTTGCAAATAAAGCATCAAATTTAGACATTCATCTCTACATTATTATTTTTACTTTAACATACATAGGGTCTGAAGTGGGGTCAAAAGCTGATTAACCTCGGGGAGAATCACCAGCCCTTGGAACTATGGCATGTGGTGCCCATACAGGAACTCTTCAAGCCCCTTGCTTCTTTCTGCAGATCATCCCTCTCCCCTGAGACAGACTCCCGAATTTGGTTGAGTTCTGTTTCATTTGGGATTTGGTGGGGAGAAGTCTCCCCCCCCCCCGCTGTTTGGGAGATCTCTTGTTGGGGAGGGTTAATTTCCTACTGTTGATCTCAGCTGTGAGGTTTGGACCTCGAGGTTAAGGTGAGAGATTTTTCCCTTCATTTGTGGAAGGCTTATCGTCCTTCCTGCTAAGTATGTATTTTATTTTCTGTCAGTGCTATGTGTTTTGTTTGTTTGAGACGAGGTCTCACTCTGTTGCCTGGGCTAGAGTGAAGTG